TGTCTTTTCCAAAAACAATTGTTACGAGTCAGTGGTCATGGTTGGGTGGATGAGTTCAAGGTGCATTAAGAGCTAATGATGATTTTTTTAATAGAGAGGAAGATGCATCCTCTGGTTAAAAAGATCCCTGTGCCACCAAACCTTCCCTCTTGCCATGATCTTTATTCTCCTTTAGGCATCAGCCATCTGGGTTGTCTCAGAGGCAGAACCCAGAGGCCACGTGGGGTTGCATCCATTTAGGAATGGGAATCTCCACACCTTGAGGTGACACTTCAGTGCCTGAACTGATGAGACCTGCAGACATTTATTCTTTCCTGGTGAGAATAAAGATGCACCTCATTAATGGGTGGTTGCTGCCTGCAAAGCTGCTCCTGTGCCTGTGCCTGGGCTCTGGGAGGGCTGCCCTGCTGAGGTTGTGTTTATACAATATGCTGGGGCTGTGGTTAACCACCAGCACACCACCATCTGTGGCACAGAAAACATGATTCACAGGAGGAAACAGTGGGAACTTGCCTTTGAGGGGGTAAGGTTAAGGAGTAACAGCAGGTCAGGTGGCTCCTCTGAAAACTGTCTCATGATGGAAGGGCATGGAGGTGAAACTTCCAGGGACTCTTACTCAGTTTACTGAATTTTAACCAATTTATATTATAATGTCTCTTTTTTGGAACATGTTTTTTTCTTTGATTGCTGCAAAAAAATGTTTCTTTCCTTCTTATTATAACTGTACCAGTGTTCAGGCTGCACTGCCCATACTACTAAGAATACACTGGTGTGCACATATCTGCATATATCTCATAATTTATATATGCATGTATTTCACTGGGATTAATATTAATCTAGAATTCTATTAATCTAGAATTTAACATATCATTCTATTATTTTTTCTCTGGAAAATTCAAAACTTGACTCATTTCTACTCTTCATCTTTTTTCTTTTAATCATCTTTTATTCTTGCCTTATTAAAACCCAAAAAGGTAAATAAAACCAGGCCAACGTTTTACAGAGAAGATTCAATCTGCTGTTGGAGTCACAGGGTCAATCAGCTAAATGGGTATTAGTAACATAATGACAGAACATAAGCCAGGCAACGTGGTAGGATTTGAAAATCCATAACAGTAATTCTCCTTTTCTATTTGTTGTCTAATTGATGGCTTAGGGTTTGGAAATGGGAACTCCTGCTCTGGGTCTGTGACAGCTCCCTGGCCATAAAACACTGTGGCCCTTCTGGAGAGCCAGAGGTTTATTTTAAGCGTGAAAAACCCCTCTCTCCACACACACACCCCACCAAGGCAAGCCTGGGGAGAAACTGGGAAAGCTAAACCCTCACTGCAGCAGCACTGCAAAAATAAAATGACAAAAAAACCCTAAAAAATAATCAAGACCAAAAAAAAAAAAAAGGAAAAAAAAAAGGGAAAAAAAAAGGGGAAAAAAAAAAACAACCAGGGAGAGGATTTGTCTGTAAATAACATGTTCAACAACTCAAGTGATGGAAGCAGAGGAACAATATCTAGCTCTGTCTTGCTGATGGGCTGACAAGGAGAGGTTAGCGAGAGGTATCAGAGGGGAAAAGGTTTTCCATAGTCTGACAGTAAGAGCAGCAGTAAAAGTTCTTCCCTTGTCCTGTACCCTTTTTGGGTTTCCACCCACTTTGCTGTAAAAACCTCCCTCTGAAAAGCAGCATTTTCCCATAAAAACAGTGGCCCAACCACTGCTGAACCCACTGCCTTGCCAGAGACATCATCTTTGAGAGCTCCAAGCTGGCCCCTGCTCCTCTGAAACACTTGCATGTAGGAAAAGAGAAATGTTTCCCACTGCACTTGACATTTTCTTATTATCTGTGTGTGCTTAATCCCTTCTTGTGTCCTGCTGAGCTTATGAGAAAGCAATTTAGGGGCTTTATTCCAAGGAAAATCTGGAGTTAGCAGCTATTACTAGTACTTACACCAGGGCACATGTTACTTTCGATGATTGGGAAAGGGAAATGGGAATAAAACCACTGACTTTAACTGTGCAGTATTTGGGGTTGTAAGTCCAGTTTAGGCACTTCAGTTGTGCCTCTGCTTTTGGGTCTTCCTTGTCACAGCTGCTTGAGCCTCTTTACAAAGTGGGGACTCTTTGCAGATGCCCAAAAGCACTTTGGTCATTCGTGGTTTGGGTCATTCCCTGACGTGTGACACCTCAATGCAAAGACACCACCAACCCTCCACTGGACTCAGTGGCACAACTGGAGCTTTGCCCCAGAAAAGTTAAGAAAACTGCATTTCTTTTAATTGGTATTTTAAATCTGTTTCCCCAGAAGGACTCTAGACCTACTTACCTCCCTCTGCCTCAGGTCAGATTGCTTTTCCTGAACTATGTGGCAGACAGTCTTGATCTCTTGGTGCCGTTCAGATAATTACACTCATTAACAGCCCTAAAGGAGGTGTTAGATTAATTTTGGTGGAATAACTAGGCTTTGTCACAGGACTTACCACAGCCTTATCACTGTGAAACATGAAGGAGTTCCATGAGGGTCGGTGGTGTGAGCAGAGAGACCCCAGAGCTGGCCTGCTCAACTTGGCAGAACTCAGGGGGAAGTTCGTGCCACTCATGGAAATGGGAACTTCCAAAGTAGAGAGGGCTGTGGTTTGACTGATTTGGATCACAGACCTTGACTACCTTCTTCATAGAACCACAAGAATGGTTTGGGTTGGAAGGGACCTTAAAGATCATCCAGTTCCACCCCCTACCATGGGCAGGGACACCTTCCACTAG